CCCCCCCACACACAACCCAATGTCCAACGTCTTCTAAAGAAATATCTTAAACTTTCTCATTTAATCTTAAAATCTTCTGCAGGATCTGCTCAAGCTGCAAAAACCAGACTCTTCTGTATTTCATTTCTCTAAAAAAAAAGATTAGAGAACTTTTTCCAGAACAACTCAACTCGACATCAAGCCTCGGAGATTAAGAGCCAGCGTTTACATCTCCCTTCCTAAAGCACACGCTGCCTGGGGGCTCCCTCTGCTCGACCCTACAGGGGCTTTGCAATGCACTTTGGGTAATCCAGATGCCACAATGACAGTTGCTAAGACACAGACAATGCAGGAATAGAAGTAAACTGTCACATTAGGAAAACTTGAAGTTAGTCAGTGAATCATATTCGAATGCATGATTTTGTGTCTTTTTCAATATATTAAGTTTATAATCAGAACAATAACATTCTCTTTATCTGAAGTTTCCAATGTCTCCTGCATCCAATGACACTTCGTGACAACAGAGGCCCATAATGATAAAGTTACGGTCTGGAAAACCAAAACAATCAGCTAAAAGACACTAGGAGGGAAGAGTTGGCTGATAATTTTCTGCGTGGGTGTGAAACTTCCTTCATATAGAAGTGGTTGTCGTCCGTTCTTAATATAAAAATATTTGTTACTGTGATTTCTTCCCTCTCTTTTTAGAGAGAAATCTTTCTTTACTTTACTACTTACGTTTATTGGAAACTAATAAAATCTGGCTGGAGAACAAGAGTTGAAAATTAGCCACCTGGCTAGTTACAGTGAATATCCCTGTTAAAACAAAACAAGGGAAGATTTGTTTTTGTATTATCTTCACCAAGGACTTTATGATTTCACCACTGTCCATTTGTTTAGTGATGAGTCGATTTATTTGCAAGTTTACATAAAAATTCCAATTTAAGCTAAAAACAAATAGACTGAAATGGTAAACTGAATAGTACACATTGCTAATACACACACACACACACACACAAATAAACACATACATCAGCACACACAATCTGACAAAGCCTCTCACAAAACACATAAAAATACCATTACAAGGGCTTTCATGCTGTTCTAAGGAAAGCAGCCCTGCCCACAGCGTGCTGCCCTTTGTCAGCGGCGGGACCCACAATCAAAGAGCGCTGACCTGCGCCGGCTTTGCCCGGTAGGCCGACAGCCAGTCCCGCTCTGACTCCAAACCCTGGTTGCCGTGCCATGCTGGGACTCCCCCCCTCCCTCTCCTCCCGCCCCCCGGTTAGCTCCGTTATTTCCTCATCTCATCAATCTGTCAGCTAAGCCCTTTGACACGCAGCACAATACGGACCCAGTAATTCTCACTTCATGCCCCCTCTTTCAATATGGTTCCAGCATTTCAACATTAGTCAGCTCATCCATGAGGTCGGCTCCCCTGGTGCCTCGGGACCCAGGCAGGGCGCCGGGGGCAAATATAGTTGCTATCGGCGATGGCAGCATTCAGGCCTCAGCGTCAGCAGGAGACGTATTTAAAATCTTTCCACCTGTTGATGGACAAACACTGAGCAGATCTGTGCAGAAGCTGTTTTGGAAGTTTCTTAGCAACAGATGTAAAACTTTATAAGCAGCTTTTAGTGCATATTTAACTTTGAGGATTTCTTCAACAGACTTTTATATATATATATATATATATATATATATGGAACTCAGGAGAGCGTATACCTCCACCAAGGCCAACAAATTTCACACGCTCAAATATATCAGTTCCCTAAAATATGCCTGAATGTCAAAAAATGCCCTACGGTCTGTCTCTGGATCTGTGGGTCCTCCAACCAAGTTTTTTCAGTGTTAACTAAAAAACGAAATGAAAATGAATGAAGCCAAAGCATGACATCCTTGACGGAGGTAGCTAAAGGCACTTTTACGTCAGTGTGATATTCAAAACTGGCCTTTCCTCATATCTGCTTTGTGCACTCACCAGTATCTAAATGTAAATACTGACAGAGACACAGAGAGAATGCATCACGTGTAAAAGAACACAAGCTAAACCCTGAAAAATCCCCATTTGAATGATATTCCATTCAAGAGTCGTTCACCTGTGTGTATGTCCAACAGTTTTCTGGAGAGAGGGAGGCGAAAAAGAAAGAGAGAGTGTGTGCATTCCTGTTTTGAGATCCCTGCCGCTGGACTGCACTCACTCGAGGACACACCATTCAATTTATTTTCAAGTAAGGATGAAAGGAAGAGTCCAAACTATGCATGTCGTCCATTCAGCGGGGACGCTCTTTAACGAAAAGGGAAAAAAGACAGCAAAAAGAGTTGGGAGAGGGTGGAGGGGTGGAGCGCTGCATACATTTTACATACACAAGGCAGCGGACAAAGTGATTGTTGCTTCCCCCAAACTTTTTTTTTTCTCTCTCTCCCCCCAGAAAACACTTTCCTGGCTGAATAGGGACCTATTAGTGACTCCATTATGGGCACAGGGCTCTTGAATGGCTCCTCACTGTGCGTCTTTATCATAGTCAGCCCGTGAATACAGGCAGCCCCCCCCTCCTGCAGCCCAACCAAGCTCCTTACAGCCTGTATTGATAGGTGCTGGTGATGATGGGTGAGGCCGGAGGGGGAGAGGTGGGCCGCCCGCCCTCACCCCCTGTTGTGTGCTCCAGGTGTGGTGGGTTAAGCATAGCACTCCACGGCCTCTATTGTGCCGCACACTTTTTCTTCACCACTTGTTCCAATAAGAAAAAAAAACATGGATGCAGTGTTTTACATGCATTAGCTGATCTCCATAATGCCACCCCCCCCCCCCCCCCCCCCCCCCCCCCCCCCTCCGCCCCTGCTGCACCCTGAAACAAGTCAGGCCTGCGGCGAATCGCTGCACACCGCCTCAGAGCCGCTGCATTGTTGCTGGATTATTCAGGAGTTAGCGGAAAGAAAGGCAGAGGAGAGTGGGGTGTCTGTACTTTATCTCCAGGGGAGACAGGGGCTAAAGAAGGAGCTTCTTTAGAGGAGTGAGTTACTGCCGCGAAAAGCCCCCCAAAAAAACACCTGCAGAAGACAAGCGCACGCAGGGAGAGGACCGAGGCGAGGAACCCCTGCTATTGTTTGTCTTTACTTCTACTGTAAACCAGCTTCTTGTGAATGCAGGCGCTTCTGTCCCTCACAGGTTGTGTGTAATAATCTGCCACAACATCATCACCTCCTGCTGCACGGACAGAGGCGTCAGACAGTTGGGCTGCTTCAATCAGCAGTCCATTAAAAAACATCAGTGTGTGTGTGTGTGT